TACTCTGGAATGATTTTTTTCCTTCGTAAATGTATTATCTCTCAGAACTTAAAGAAATTTGTGTCTTTTCATGGCATATTGAATAGGAGGCAATATTCTCTAAAAGAGTTTGTACAGTTTTTTTTCTTTCCTGTTGACAATTATTTTTGCTGTCATTCGACTGCCGCCTTTAAATCCCAAAGACTGACAGATGGTGTTAGCCTAGTCAGTAAGAGCAAAGGCTCTGGCACCAGAAAGATCTGTGTTCAGGTCTTGGTTCTACCATGTCTGTGCTCTGTGACCTTCGGCAAAGTACCCAATTTCCCTAAGCCTCAGCTTCCTCATCTCCAAAATCGGGAGAGATAATAATTGTGAGAAATTCAGTCATGCATCACTTAAACGATGGGGATACATTCTGAGAAATGTGTTGTTAGGCAATTTCATCGTTGTGCGAACGTCAAGCATTACAGATGAACGTGATGTTGGAAGGAAGTGCTGAAATGTAAATGGAGGTCTATCTGTGGGAGATTGCTACATAATTTGTAGAAGGTGTGAAGAGATTGACACAGTCCGAATTGGTTCTGTGGAGTTACAAAAAATCCAAAGTTTTTTGATTCTGAAAATAAGACATATTTTTCCAAGAAACTTCATTTTAAATAGTTGATGTCTTTTGTTCTGTAATAATAACCACTGAAAGGATTCTTTTTATTAGAAGCTAATCATACTTGTTAAATAAGATTCTATTTTAAGAATAAGTTATTTTTATACTTGGTCTTAGCTGAAAGGCTGAGAAGCAATAAAAATGAATTAAGAAAAAATTAATTTGTAATTGATTTTTGTAATTTGAAGCATGGTTTCCTTTAGAAACAATTCTGTGAATGATTGTTTTGATTCTCAAGGCAGCCCACAAAAGACAATTTGAAACATTATTTATGCAGAGTCAATCATACCATCCTGACTTAGGGTGTTGGAGGCAGGGGGTTCCGATAACACAGAGTGGAGTTTTTGGCTCCATTTCTATTCTGTAGGGCTATAGGCATTTGAAAGAGAAAATTTTTCTTTGACAGTCTTCTTCCTTGCTTTCTATGAAATATTTCACTAGTTCTAGCTTATAGGTTTTCTAAAATGTTCTCCATAATTTATTTTAAAATCATGTTTTTCATCTTTTACAGATATGAATAAAATAGAATTAATTAGAACATTAGTTCCTGAAAACATTGACACGTACCTTATCCACATGGCAGTTGAGCTCCTTAAAAATGATTGTGACAGCAGACTGTTATGCCAACCTTCATGTGACTCCAACAAAAAGAGATGTTTCCCCAACTCTGAAGAGAGCTGTTCAAGTTCTAAGAGAAGCAAGGAAGAAGTAGACACTAATACTGAGGTGTTAATTATGTGTAGAATTTTCATACACTGTCATTTTGTTCAATTTGCATATGCTCATAGTCGAATGCTATTTTTTTTTTGAACTGTTACTATTACTTTAACCACACATTAGCATTTTTGCTTTTCCCCTACTGAAATAACATCAGATGCCAACAAGAGAGTTTGGTGGGGGGCGCGGGGAACATTATTGTTAAAATTTAGTACTTTGGAATAATAAGAATTTTCTTAAGCCCTGTTTTTTTTTTAGGCATAGGGCTTGTTTGTTTTTTATTTATGACTAAGAAAATAGTGCATGGTCTAACTATTTTGCATTCCATAAAAATTTTAAAGGTTCATGGAAAACATCTTGAAAATTTTTCACTGAAAGACGAAAGTCACAGCAATTCCATAAGACTAACTTCTCGGAATGAGCCATTGAACCATCCAGAGAGAGAGGATTTATTTGCAGATTCTCATGTACAGGTAAAATTGATTTAAGGAAATAGTTTTCTTGTCAAATATATCAGAATTGATAAATGTTTAGATTTATCTTGGTTAGAGATGAAATTAAGTGTGAATGTAACTTACATATTTCTCTATTTTCTTACATATATATGTGCATGTATAATCAAATGAGTTGATGTTTTCTATTTGCAACTTAATGGTAATAGCTTGATAATAGAATTTGGAGTATCAGAAAGATATAAAGAGCCCCTTACAGTTTTGTTATGATTATTGGGAATTTTAATCTTCTATTGGTGAAGGAAATACATTCTGGAAGGCATTGTTTCTGTTAAGTGACTTACACCTCACAATTAAGGTCTCCTTAGATACTTACTGTTGAGACTCAAAAGACACACTCAGGGCTGGGCACGGTGGCTCATGCCTGTAACTAGCACTTTGGCAGGCTGAGGTGGGAGGATCGCTTGAGGTCAAGAGTTTGAGACTAGCCTGAGCAAGAGTGAGACCTTGTTTCTACAAAAAATAGAAAAAATAGTTGGGTGTGGTGGTGCACATCTGTAGTCCCCTCTACTTGGGAGGCTGAGGCAGGAAGATTGCTTAAGCCCAGGAGTTCGAGGCTATGGTGAGCCACACTGATGCCACTGCACTCTACCCAGGGTGACAGAGCAAGACTCTGTCTCAAAAAAAAAAAGATACTCCAGGTAAGTAAGCATTTTCCCCCTTTTCTCAATGAAATAATTATTATCATTATGGGATAATATTGATGATTATATTTTATAGAAATATAGATAAAAGACTTTAAATGATATTAGCTTTCTTGATCGTAGTACTCTGGAATGATTTTT